AGATTGCAGCAGGGGGAAGCTCTGAGAAGAGCCCTCCTTCCAAGCTGAGGACGTCTCCCCACCAGAGTCAGGTGGCCCCACCCTGGTCCCTGAAATTGCACCTGAAGGTTCTGTTTCGCTTTGGCTCTACAGGTCGTGATGTCCGAGCTCAGTGATGAAGCTGACCCCCAGCCTGTCCCTGTGGCATGGGGCAGGCCCGATGATCTGTCGAGAAGAGCTGGATGTTCCCCTGGACCTACACACAGCGTCCTCCATTGGCCAATACGAGGTGGTGCAGGAGTGTATTCACCGGTAAGGAGCGGGTGGAGCAGGCTAGCACAGCTTTGTTCTTACTTGCCCTTATTTTTAAATCACCGCAGGATAGAGTCAGTTTACACTGGATCAAGGACCTATGGCATGTGAACTTCAGTGGTACTCGGTCATTTGTTCAGTGTAAAGTGACTTATGGGCCATGTCTGGGACAGGGAAATTCACCCCCAAATTCCCGGTGATTCTACTGGAGTTAGAACAGATGGGAGCCACGGTGTAGACAAGGCTTTTAACCCTCTATATATTTGAACTGCAATGATGATAAAGGAGATTTTGGCGACAGGAGTCTGTGTTGCGGCGCTGACCCGCTTTAGGACTGGTCCTGCTGATTTCTTTTCGCTCGCTTTTTTCTTTCTTTCTTTTTTTTTTAAAGTGGGGAGATGGATTTAAACAAGAGAAACTCTGGTGGCTGGACCCCGCTGATGTACGCCTCCTACATCGGGCATGATACCATCGTGCACCTGCTGCTGGAGGCAGGGGTGAACGTGAACGTCCCCACACCGGAAGGGCAGACCCCGCTCATGCTGGCCTCCAGTTGCGGCAATGAGAGCGTTGCCTACTTCCTGCTCCAGGTGGGTGTTCGGGAGCGGTGAGGAACAGCTGCTCTGGTACACGTGCAATGCCGGAGGAGCGGAATCCTCCAGCAGTTGTGACGGAGCACGGTCCGCTCCAGGCACAGCTGCAAGTTCCGCTTCCTGACGGGGATTCCGACTTTCTCAGAATCACAGCTCGGAGGGCAGTGGCTCCCAGACCCCGTGAGATGCTGCAGTAAAGACCCTTCTCTGTTCTCTTGAAGCAAGGCGCAGAGCTGGAGATGAAGGACGTTCACGGCTGGACTGCCCTCTTCCACTGCACCAGTGCTGGACACCAGCAGATGGTCAAATTCTTGCTGGACAATGGGGCGAACGCCAACTGCAAGTAAGAGAAGAATACCCGGTGTTTCTTTTCCTGCCTCAAGGATTTCCACCTGATTTCAAATGCAAAAGAAGCATGTTAGCATGTGAACGTGCTTGACTGCTACAGAGCATAATGGAAGAAAACATACTCCATCCCTCCCCTTTAGAAAAGAGAAGACTGAGGGGGGATATGATAGAGGTCTATAAAATCATGAGTGGTGTGGAGAGGGCCGATAAAGAAAAGTTATTTATTAGTTCCCATAATAGAAGAACTAGAGGACACCAAATGAAATTAAGGGGGAGCAGGTTTAAAACTAATAAGCGAAGTTCTTCTTCACACAGCGTGTAGTCAACCTGTGGAACTCCTTGCCAGAGGAGGCTGTGAATGCTAGGACTAGTTTAAAGAGAAGCTAGATAATTTCATGGAGGTTAGGTCCATAAAAGGCTATTAGCCAGGGGATAAAATGGTGTCCTTGGCCTCTGTTTGCCAGAGGCTGGAGAGGGATGGCAGGAGACAAATCGCTTGATCATTGTCTTCGGTCCACCCTCTCTGGGGCACCTGGTGCTGGCCACTGTCAGCAGACAGGCTACTGGGCTAGATGGACCTTTGGTCTGACCCAGTACGGCCGTTCTTATGTTCTTATGTCCCTTTTCCCTGCCAGCTTACAGAGATGAGCTGTAACCCACTCTCCGTTTAATGTCGTGAGCACAGTGCTGTGTAAACTGAGGAGTAGGGATGTTAGACAGCGTAACATTGAATAGTTGGGTAACTGCATCAAATTTTTGCAATTACACGACTATTCAATAGTCCCAGGGGGCAGGGCTGGCAGCCAGTGCACTCCTGGCCCCACTCCCAGGGAGATTGCTGCCAACCCACGCTGCTGCCTGTGATAGAGGCAGCAGTGTGGGTTGGCAGCAGCTCCTGTCCATGCAGGATCCAAGCTCCCTGCAGACAGAGGCTGCTCCGTGGGATGCTGGTGCAGCCTCTATGCACAGCAAGCCCGGATCCCGCACAGACAGAGGCTGCTTTGCGGCAGCCTTCTCTGCTCCCATCCCCGTACTGCTGCCTCTCCCCCTAGTATCGGCTCTGCCTAACACTGTCTCCTGCCTGCCCCCCTCCCGCAGCCTCTGTAGGTCCATGGAGCCAGCATGTGAGGGAGCTGGTTTAAAAGTGGTCTCTCGGTGCGTATTGGCTCCTGCCTGCCCTCCTCACCCTCCATGCTGCTGCCTCTTTGTCAGAGGCAGCAGTGCGGGGATGGGGGGAGGGCCCATCCGGTGCTTGTGGGGAGCCAACTTCGGCTCCTGCTCCCTCCCCGCTGCCTGTGATACAGAGGCAGCCAGAGCGGGGGAATGTGTATAGTCGACAGGATTAATTGATAAGCCCAGGCTTATCAGTTAATCGTGTAGCTGTCCACACAATAACATTCCTTCTGAAGAGTGGAGTTAGCCCACAGTGCCACACTGAAACTAGAGGTCTTAAAAAGCAGTTAATTAGATAACCATGTAACAGCTGAAAATCTCAGCTGTTACACTGCAGGCTGGGTTGTATAAAGCTTATACTGTAGCGCCTGCAGCGTAGCCGGCTGGTCCCAGTCCGGAGTCGGCTGCGCTGTGGGCTCTGCATTATAAGCTTCATGCTGCAGAGCCAACAGCTCAGGGCCGCAGCTGCCTCCCCAGGAGCCGGTGTGTGCCAGAAGCCGGCTCCCAGTGAGTACCGGCTCCTGCCTGCTGGCCTCACTCCCGGGGCCCAGAGACTCTATGCAACCAATAAGCCTGCGCTCATGGGTTATCGTTAGCCATTTAAACGGTTCTGCTATTACATCCCCTATTTAAACCACCTCGGGAATGAGGTTCAGTTTTGGCTGAGCTCTGTGAAAGCCAAAGAGCGTTACAACTTGCTCCTGCCCTCGACTGCCCTTTGCTGCTGACCCTGATCAGTCGGTCGTTGCTCATGCACAGTCGCTGTCCGTGTGCACCGCAGTGCCTGTACTTCTGAGAGCTTCCTGCTACTGCACGCTCATCAAACAGCCTAGTACATGCTGGTCGTGTTGCTGCTATTTTCTTACATCCAGTAATATTGATTTCCAAAACTGAAAGCCCCAGAGACGTATCTGGTGTCAGTCAGGTGTTTGAAGTCACTGGGGCCACTCCAGCTTATACACACTGAGGATCTAGCTTTAAAAGTGCACTGGCAATCTTAATCCTTGACGCGAATAGCTGACTCTTCCCATAATTACAGTAGCTTTGCAGGACCCACAGAGGTGAAATCTTCCTGGTCAGAACCCCGTTTCCTGTATTTTTCCATGGGAAGAAATCGGTCTGTTATGTAAATGCACATTTCAAAGGTCTGAATGTTTGTCACAAATACGTATGTTCTTGAATTTTTGACCTATTTGCAACACCATCAATGGCTAGATTGCATGATGCCAGGGGAAAATAATCCTTCCAGGCCCTTGTATAACATAGCACCAGCGGTCTGGTGACTTCGAGCGGCATGCGGGCTGGGACATTAGTATTCAATTGAACATCAACTCATCTTCCTTGAAGTTCCGAATAATTCTTTTGCGTGCCAAGGGTCAAAGTGTATCCCAGGTAAACAAACGTATTTATGTAAATGCAGCCGAAGCAGAGAATGCGGTGTGCCAGGCAAACAGGGCTGTCGTCTAGGAGGTGATCCTGCATGGACTGGAATTGCCTTTCCTGCTTACTGCCTTGCAAAAGAGTCACGGGGCTTGCCCCTGTTTCAGTTGGAAGGGCCCAGATCAGTCATGCAATCAGGTTGGTCTTCCTCCTGCCTGGAGTAATGGTAGTAAAATGGCATTTTAATGGCTGTGCTGCCTTGAGCAATACATGGCTTCATAAGCTAAGTGCCCTTTTTTTTTATTTATGTATTTAATGAATTCAGTTTAATTGGATGCTGGGTAAAGGGGCCAGTTTGACAAGCCTGGAAGCTTCTGTCTTCCCTGAAGCCAGGGTGTGGGTTCTGCTTCAGCCTCAGGGAATGAGACCTCCCCTTTGGTTCTCTTGCTCTGTGTGACCTGCAACCTGTATTCCATCTTTAATTCCCCCTGGGCTGACTCCGCCTGCATGGGCTTTTTCTCTCCTACTCAGGGAGCCTGTGTACGGCTATACGCCTCTGATGGAAGCGGCTGCTTCTGGCCATGAGATAATTGTCCAGTATCTTCTCAATCATGTAAGTATCTGCCCCGTTCTAAATCAGTCCAGACCTGCAGTCCGGAGAACACAGGTTGTGAGAGCACAGGCCTTCTAAAGGGTTGTATTTCCAGCTTTCCTCTGGTGGCCGGCTGCTGCCTCCTTGAGTCGTTTTCGGGGGTTACATGCCTATAAATCTGTTTTAGTAAAATGGAGCGATCCAAATGTAAAATAACCTCTCTCGGCGCAGCGTGCATCTCCCCAACAGCCCTTCCCTGTCTCCAGCATAGTCTCTGGTCTTTCCTTATTTCCAAATGGGATGAAATGCTCCTTTTTTCTCTCCTTTCTCGTACCCGGGCTGTCGCTAAAGAAACCAAACATACCTTTCAAACCCTGTATCCGATTTCTGAGTCACTAGGTCCCTTGGGGCACAACCCAGTCAAACACCAGCCTGGTTCCAGGGTGGAATTTCCTCCTCTCTTTTCCAGCAGGGGGTCTCGTAGGTTGTTCTGTCCTTGCGGTAGGTGTTGCACTGGACTTGCCCAACAGATGTAGCCGGGATCCTGTCGTCAGCAGTGTAGGGTTCTTTCTGGACTCTGGGCTGCTGTAGGAGTCTTACCTGGCTGCAGCAACAACCCGAAGTCCTGACACACTTTGGACTAA